GCTCTTTCACTCTTTCTCTTATAACAAGCTATAAAGAGCTCTGTCCAGAGAGGTTCATTAGGTCAGGGCAAAGCTGCTCACCTGAAAATGAGACTGCAAGGACACCCGGAGGTAGAACAGGCTGTTAAAGAGCAGGATCAATATTAAACTGACTTCCATTTCATGCTTGCCCAATTCCAATCAGCTAACAATATACTCGGCCACTCATGAATAAGGGGGAAGGTACAGTATCAAAGCCTGAGACCGGCATGAAGCACGCTCACTATTTTGTCAGCATGGCTAATAGACTAAACTGAGCTATTTTAAAGCAAAAGTTCCCACAGACATATGCAAAGGTGCCTGGGAATGAGGCACAGAGCAGTATGGTTTATCAAATGCTTATACAACATGTAGTCAGCCGTTTGAGGTCCCATTAAATTCAGGCTGTTCCTCTATTTTCAGTGAATGAAGATCATATTACAGCCACAGAAAATACATTAAATTACCATGAATCAAATATAATGATGTTGTTTCTAGGGTAGTTAGAACATTTTTCGAATGAACCTGAGGCATATTTCATGTCCACCCATGTCATTTTGCACAAAAAGAAATGTGAAATATTGCTAAAGCGCTGCATATGTTCTAATGCAGACAAGCTCTATGAAAATATGTCATTGTGAATAAAAACAAGCCCCATATGCAGTGACTGCTGTCAACTGCCAGTTTTCTGACATTTGAGAGCAGTCACTTTTCAATCTCTTTGGTTTCTGGCAAAAAGAATGGAAACTTATATGCACCCTTAACAGTTAATTCATTCAAATCACCTACGTTAACTCAACGTACCACAGCCGCCAGTCACAAAAGCAGCTGTAAACCTCCACTACTGCCAGTTCAGCAAAGCACAGAGCTACTGACTTTTGCAGTTTCTTAAAATGATGATTTATATATCCTATGCAAGTGTTACATATAGTTTTCATTATAGTGAATAAATAAGAGTGCTTTTAAATACAATGAACTAAATGAATAAAATCAAATAAAAAAAGAAAAATATTATTATTTTTAAATTTGTATTTTTAAATTGTTTATATTTTATTTTTAGTAAAAAATATACACTGCATTAATTTTTTTTCCCGTTTTGTTTATTTTGAATGTATTTATTTAAGTCCATTGCATTTATAAGCTTATGTTTAACTTAAAAGCTTAGCACTGTTCTGCTGGTTTAGGAAAACAGTCCCTCCGTTTCTATAAAACCCATATAGAGAAGTCGATCTTTGCTGTCCCTCTCTCTCAGGCTCTCTCTATGGCATTGTGGGGGCAAGATCTGACTACAGGCAATCCCTTCCACATGACAATCTTATGCATTATTCCACTCATTAAGGACTGGTAGAAGCCTGGGGACCTCAACAAGTCCTCAATCACAGCGGCCCCAGACACTAGACCGCGGGTCCACAGAGACGCACTGACAACTTACCAAGGACAGGCAGAAAAAGAAGCCGGGCCAGAGGAATACTGCAGAGGTGTGAGCTTCTGAAGAAATGCGGGAGATATACTGGGTAATACGTTTGAAAGACAGCGTGGATTTTATATGGTGGCAAAATGAATTAGTGGGGGGAAAAAGTCTGTTGTGACATGAGCAGGGGCCACCTGCAGGTCAAGGAACAGCTGGCATGTGTATGTACGAGAGTGCATGTGTGTGTTCT